CCTGCAGCCCTCCGTGGCTTCCTGCCCCCGCCCCATCCGCTGGCCCCTCGTCTCCGCGCCCCTCCCCGCGCCTCCTTTCTCTGCCCACCGCTCTGCCCTGCGTTCCCTACCCCCCAGCTCCCCCCAGCGGCCTGGTGGCACCTGGGAGGTGTCCGGCTTGGATTCCGCGGGCACCCAGTACCCTGAGTGCCCAGCTTGCACTGGGTCGAGGCGGAAAACAGCTGCGCCCGTCTGTAGACGCAGGCGGCCGCCAGCCCTGTCGGGCTTTATTTCGGCCTCGCACCACCCCGGGGCTCGGCCCCCATTATCTCTGTCATACAAAAGGAAAACCCGAGGCCCACAGAAGTTAACTTGGCCCGGATGGGGATGGCCCAGCTGAAGTGCGGGAGGCACAGTGGCTGGTGTTCCTCGGGGACACGTTGTGTGCTGGGGGAGCAGACAGGTAGGCAGACAGAGCTGAGCCCCGCCAGCACGGAGCTGGGGGTGGGAGGGTGGTGGGGAAGGCTGGGGAAGGGGCGACCCCCCACGCCCCCCAGGGCTGCGTGCCCGCCTGCCACCCCTGCAGGGCCCTGGTTTGAACTGGACTTTCAGGGAGGCTAGGGCTTCATCAGGCTGAGGGACTGGAGCCTTCCAGGTGAGGAGGACCCTTGGGCAGCAGCGCAGAGACCAGTGTCTGGCAGGTTCCAGAACATAAAGGAATTGTGGCTGGAGAAGGTGCTTGGGTAGGGAGGCCCTGGCCGGAGCTGGAGGAGGTTAGAGGCCTGGACTTCATCATCTGGGTGGGGAGTGATGTAGACGGGTCTGGAGTTCACACGCCATGGCTCCTCTGGAGCAGGGCACCCCTTCCCCCTAGGGGCAGAGGCCCCACGTGGCCACCCACCCCTTGGTGATGGGCTGGGGGCGTCTCCCACAGGGGCTGTGAAGGCCTCCGGAACGAGTGACCGGGCAGCCTTAACCTGCAGCCACATGGGCTTTACTGAAGTGAGCTACACAGATGCCCTTTCTCCTGCAGAGACTGACCTGACTGGAGGACTCTGGGGGCTTTCGGTGGCCGGGGAGCCGGGTGACAAAGGGGAAGGACGCTGGTGGAACAGAACCTGGAGACTGGGAAGGGACGGAGCAGCCCCCTCTCGGGAGCGGGTCCCTTCCGCGTCCACTTGTGGCTCTCGGCACCCTTCTGCCCTGGCCACCGCCCCCAGTCCTGGACGCCCAGGGAAAGTCCTTCCTCTGGACAGAGGCACACGCTCCAGCCTCCGTCCGCGTCGCCGGAGAGCCCTGCCACTCCATCTTACCCGCGTTTTCTGCCTCTACTCCACTCTCCTTTTGCCCCCTCCTCGGGCATCCGTCCGCATCCTGCCCCCCATGGCCTTCTCACCGACTACCCTGCTCCCTGGCCATCATGTCTTGACTGGGCAGATAGTTACCGGCCGTTTGTTTAAGGAGGGTTTCCAGGATGGCGTCGGGGCAGCAGGGAGGAGGTGCCAGTGCTCCCCGTTGTGGCCCCTGAGCCAGGTGTCCATGGGGTGGGTGGTCAGCAAGTATGGCCTTTCCTGGCTGCTGGTCACGCAAGCCACCACATGAACTTTGTGTGGACGGGGAGTCGGCTGTGGCGCACCAGGTCCCGACGGCTGCTTCGGCCACAGAGGCTGACCTTCCTCGATGGCCAGAGCGCCACTCGGGCCTCTGAGACCTGATCCTCCCCCTTGGGGTAGGGCTGGTGCATCAGAGTCTAGACTGGCAGCCGCTTGTAATTGTGGCGATTGGGGGCTGTGGGAGCAGAGGGGACCAGTTCCGACGGTCCTGGGGGAAGAGGAATCAGCCTTCGGTTTATGTGCTAATTAAAAAGTGATGAGATGCGCTAGAAGGCCGTTGGGCAACACGCTCTCGTGCAGCTTTGGTGAAGCAGCAGTTTTTCTGCTTGGTCATCATCTGTGGACCGTTCCCGTGTGGCGATGGGAGGTGCTGGCGGCCTTAGCCCATCTGCAGCCTGCCGCCTGGCCACTGAAATGCCGCGGCAAAGCCCAGTCGCTGCTGTTTAGCCACGTGCACTGGACACCCTGCGGGAGGCGCTCAGCCCGGCCCAGCCCGGCGGCAATGTGTGCGGGAGCCGGCGGTGCCAGGCTGAGCCACGCGGGTGGCTGAGACCACAGGCAGGAGGGCCAGGGACTCGACCCCACGAGGCCGGGGACAGAGGCGTGGCAGGTGGGATGGTGATGCCGGCTCCTCCCTCTCGGCCAGATTTCCCCGTGGACAATGGCAGCCACGATCCAGGCCATGGAGCGGAAGATCGAATCCCAGGCCGCCCGCTTGCTTTCCCTGGAAGGCCGGACCGGGATGGCCGAGAAGAAGCTGGCCGACTGCGAGAAGACGGCCGTGGAGTTCGGGAACCAGCTGGAGGGCAAGTGGGCCGTGCTGGGGACGCTGCTGCAGGAGTACGGGCTGCTGCAGCGCCGGCTAGAGAACATGGAGAACCTGCTGAGGAACAGGAACTTCTGGATCCTGCGGCTGCCCCCCGGCAGCAAGGGGGAGACCCCCAAGGTAGATCGGGGCACGGGGCTGGGGCGGGGACGTGCCTGGCGGTGCGGGGGTGAGCTCGCCTGACGCTTGTGGTTCCAGGTGCCCGTGACCTTTGATGACGTGGCCGTGTATTTCTCTGAGCAGGAGTGGGGCAAGCTGGACGAGTGGCAGAAGGAGCTGTACAAGCACGTGATGCGCGGCAACTACGAGACGCTGGTCTCCCTGGGTGAGGCACGGGGCTCGCTTCTCTGCCAGAGCGAGGTGGGAGCCCTCAGGCCGCTCCGTGCTGGTGGTCGGCAGCGCGAGGATGTGTGCGTCGCTGGACCCTCAGCTGGGCAGAGCGTCAGCCTTCTCCGCCCAGGGACAGCCCTGGGTGCCGAGCCGGCCCTTCTGCCCTGAGGCTCCTGCACCGCCAGCTGAGCGTGGTGGCCCTAACACCCCCTAACAACCACCCCCCGCCCCGACTGCTGGGCCTTGCAGTGGAGAAGCCGCTTTCCAGACACGACCCCCACAGCTGAGCCTTTTGCCACGCGGCCTTCGCTGCTGGGATGTGGCCTCAGCCACATGCGGGTGCAGGGGGTGTTGCCCTGTCTGGAGACCGTTTTGGCGGGCTGTTTGCCCCTGGCCTTTTCCTCTCAAGCTGGTTTCTCTGTGGCCCAGGTCCGACGACTCTGAGGCTTGCTGAGGGAGGACAGGGCAGCCGGCTTGAGGTCACACTTTAGTTTGCAGACAGGCACCGCTTCTTAATGTGGACACTCTGTGCCTGACTCTTTACCTGAGCCCTTGACACTGGAGGCCAAGTGACCCTGTCCTGGCTCCGGCCTGAGCATTGTGGGGTGTCCAGCAGCATCACTGTCCACCCACCAGGAGCCCACAGCTTCCCCCCGGAGCCCCCAATCGCCACCACCGAGAAAGCCGCCAGCCTCTAGCACCCGACCCCCACGGGACAAAACTGCCTACAGCTGAGAATTGCTGCGCTCCATCAAGCAGGAATTCTGTGTCTAGTCCCTTTGGCTCCCCAGGCCGCCTGTCCCAGCTCGGAGCGGGATGTGGCAAGCGCGAACCTTTCTTCCTCAGATTACGCCATCTCCAAGCCCGAGGTCCTCTCCCAGACTGAACTCGGCAAGGAGCCATGCAGCTGGCGCCGTGCCGGCCCCAAGATTCCAGACGTTCCCGCGGACCCGAGTCCAGGTGAGGGCTGGGGGTAGCCGGAGACACCAGGGACAGTGAGGGCCTGACCCCCCGGGCACGCCCAGGCGCCGCAACTCGAGCGTTTGAAATCTGAGTTTCCTTCGAGTGGAGTTTTGACCTCTGGCCCGTAGCTGACCCTGCAGGACCCGGCACCTCCCCGCAGGAGGCCGGGCCTGGTGCCTCAGGAGAGAGCGAGCCCGGGGGGGGGCTGGGGTGGGGGGACACGGGCAGGCCAGGCCACAGCCTGCCTCGCGCACGCTCAGAGGCGCCAGCTTGCCTCCGCCCCGTAAGCAAATCTCATGTAAATCTCTCGGTGGCGGCAGGACACAGCCCACAGGTCCCCCACGTGTCAGCGCCACAGATTTTACTAAGGTGAATCCGGACACCTGACAGCAGTGTTCCTGGAGCCGCCGGTGCCCCTGACAGTGCAGGAAAGGGCTGTGGGTGCTTGGGCAAGCTGCGTGACCGAGGGCGCCCTGTGGGGTGGGGTCACGCGGCCGGGACACCCTGCCACGCCCATGTGGGCCCACCGCCGATCCCCGTGCCCTTCGGGGTGTGCCCAGCGTTCTTCACCGCCCCTCCCAGACCCGCTTCTCCCTGCACCCCTCAGCAACAGTGACCCCTCAAGCTCAGTCCCGCCCTCTTTTGTTCACGCCCTTACTGGCCTTTACCAGCTCAGACCACCTGGCGCAGCCCCCGTGTGGCCCTGCCCGCGTGGTCCTCGCACCTCCCGGCCTCGGTCCGTGACCGCCTCTGCGTCCCTACGGAAACAGGGCGTTCCCTGGTTACCCCCTGAAAGCTGCAGCACCCCCTCTCCCGGAAGTCCTCCAGGGCGCCCACCCCCTCAGCCTCGTCCCATGCGCTGCCCCTCCCCAGGTGTGCGCTCCCCGCGGGCCGCCGTCTGCGGACGCTGCCCGGCTGCGTGCTGTCCGTCTCGTGCTTCAGAGGAAGGACGCGTATGAAACACTGTATTTCTGGTGCAACGTAAATTCCTCTTCAGCTCCCGGCCTCCTTTCCCGCGGTCACCGGTTGGCTGGACGCTGAGGCCAGCCTTCCCGCCCACGGTTTAAGCTGTTGGTACCCTGGAAGGGCTCTGCCTCAAGAAGCGGCGTGCCACCGCCCACCCCTCACAGGCTGTCATTCCCATCTCCCCCTTGGTGCGCACACATCAAACTCGTTGACGTTAACAGATGCTTAAAATTCCAAAATCAGCTCCTCATGCCCCTCCTGCCCGGCACCGGCCCGCCCTCTTGACGGCCTCTGGGGCGCGGTGTGGCTCTGGGGCTAGGCCGCCGTCCACCCCCACACTGTCCTCTGCAGGGCAGCGGGGCGCTGCCGTCTGCCCAGGTGAAGGAGCTGCCGGGACCCCCAACTTGATTTTCCCCACGGGGGCGCAGGGGCCCGGCACCTCACCAGAGGCTTCTTTGGCTGCTTCTGCAGGGAGCTGCCTGCTCTGCTCCCGCCTTGTTCCTCACTGCCCGTGGCGCGGGGCCTCTTTGCCTCGGTGCTCCGTGCCAGCTGGTCCCTCTCTGCGTTCAGGACCCCTCCTGTCCGTGCCGGCCTGGACACTTCTTGTCAAGGGAGTTTTTAACTGGGCGGAATTAAGCACATGGGCAGCTCTTGCTTTTGGGGTCTCTGCTTTCTCTGCCTCAGCGTGGCCTGCCCGCCGCGCTCAAGGTCAGGGAGGCCTCTGCTCTCGTACGGCACGTGCAGGTGCCGCTCTATTCACATGGAAGCGTCAGTCCCCCGAGAGGTCGTGTTTGCTGCACGGGAGAATCCCTGGGGCTTTCTGCCCCAGGCCCGTGGGTCCTCCCCGAGGCTGCTGCCTGTTTTTATGTCGGCGGCCGCAGGCGGTGGCCGAGGGGCAGGCACCGCCCGTGACGCGGCAGGGGGGCCCCAGCCCGCGCTGCTGGGCAGCAGTGTGCCCTTGCTGTTCTCGGGCCTCGGTCCTGTCACCAGAATTCCAGCCCTCGTTACGCCAAGTTCTCAGAAGCTCGCTGACATGTGACCAGAGTTGCATTTACTGTCTGAGTTCGCTCCTGAAGAGCCGCCTCGTGGCAGCCTGCCCCCCATCATGGGAAGGGCTGTCTTTGGAGGCTTCTGCGCCTGCTTGACTACGGCTCGGCGTCGTCTCCTGAGACGTGTCGTTTCTGTCGTGCGTGGACGTGGTAAGCCCGTGGCACGTCTTCAGTAGTGACTACAGGTGTACAGCTGTGCGTATGCTGCCTTAGGGCATGACGGCAATGCCCATCCCCCCCCACACCCCACTTCTCCTCCTCCCCCGCCCCCAGTGAACACCCAGAAGCTGCCGCTGGTTCCTTTCTGGGTGCACCCGTCAGCCTTGTCTTACCCCTTAACTCTCGCAAACCATACGCGTGTGTCCTTCTGGAACTCGCTGCTTCACTGGACATGGCCCGAGCCAGTCCAGCCGGACCCAGCACCGGCGCCCTCCTGCTGTGGGGGTGCAGCGCTCCCGGCGTCTGCCATCACGAACACGCCGTGTGTGAACGCCTCAGGTGCCGGCCCAGGCTGGTAGGCTGTGTCCACGCGGCGCCCGCCCCAGCAGCCATGCCTGGGACGCGCCGCGCTGCCCTGGAAGTGCCTCTCGGTCCCGTTTATGCCCGGAGGGGCGGGCGACGTGGTTTCACGTCTAGTTTACAATGTGTGCTCCTGAGGAGCGACCCAGGTCATCCCGGCTCAGCACGCTCGCCTCTCCTCGGTGACATGCCTTTTACGTCCGCCCGCTCTCCTCTCGCTTTCCCTTGATTTAATGCTTTGCCACAGTCCTTGCGTGTCCTGAAGATCGATCTTACTGTTGGGGGGTTGTATCTGCTGGTTTCTGCCTTCGTGGTTTCTCCTTTTCACATCTTAAACGAGGACGAACCTGACTCCTGCCTCCAGGTCAGACAAGCCACCTCCTGCGTTCTGAGTTTTGCCTTCACGGTCAAGGTCGCCGTCCGCCAGGAACGAGCCTCTGGGCCCTCGTTCTTCCTTCTGAGCGCTGGGGTGCACCCTGCCTTTGCTGTCAGGTGAACCTCAGCTGTCCGGGCACCCCTGTGCGGCCTGGACTTGGTTCCTCTTGCTCCGGCGCCGCTCAGCCCTTTCACTCACTGAGCCACTTCTTCGTGACGACCCAGGCCCCCGTTCAGCTCTGGGCTGATGTGACTTGCCCCCAAAGGCCCTGCACATCTGTTTGGTCAGACACGCCCAGGGCCTCTGTGGGCCTGCCTGGGCCTGCCCCGGCAGCTAGCTCAGTGTCCTGACCTCCTGCAGGGCAGGGCCCGCAGGGGCACCTCACAGTGGGGTTGGCCTCAGGGACTGGCCAAGGGAGCCCTTGCTCATCTCCTGCCCCCCCACCCCCACCCCCCGGGCAGCTGCCCTGCAGGACCGGGGCGTCGCCGGGGCCAGTGGGTGACTCCGGCCCGTCAGCACTCTGGGAAAAGCCGCCGCCACCATCACCGTCCTAAAAACAGCTGCCGCCTCTTGACGGGGAGGAGAAATGGCCGCCGGTGGGCTCCCGAAGTCGGAAGCTGCAGTGTCGTCACTAGCTGCTGTTTTGATCTGGAAACCCTGTTTAAATCCTCATTAATGCTAATTGCTTTTCTAATCTCAGCTGATGAGTCTAGTATTTTCTGGAGAGATCATCGTATCCTCTGTGAGTAATCCTTGTTTTGTTTCTTCCCAGATCCACATGGCTTGTCTTTTGCTTTATTGTGCTGCTTGAAAACCCCTAAGTCCTGTGGTCCGTGGTTTTCAGGGAATCCTCTTTAAACATTGGTCGTGGTACTGGTTGAAGGTTTCGTTCACCAGTGCCCTTCCTCAGGTTAAAGATGTTTTCGGTATTTCTGAGTAACTAAGGCATTTCCAACCGGTATGGTTTGAATTTTTATGGGGTACGTTTCTAAAGGATTGTGTGAAATTTTTCCTAGAACCTGCTAATGTGGCAGGTTAGGCCGTAACGTCAAACCAGACCTGTGCTTCCGGAATAACCCTCACGTTGCATGGCCCGGGTCACACTGCCGGAGTGAGTGTTTAGGATCCCTGAGTCTGCTGGTAATTTTCCCTTCCCAGACGACCGTTGTCGGGTCCTCTCACGGTGCTGTGCGCCCTCCTGTTTCCACGTGCCCCCGAGTCGTCTGCCTCTGCTCGGTCGGCCGGCAGCAGCGGCGAAGCCTGTCTGAGCCCCTTGGTGGGGGACGTTTGTTTGCCGATCGAGATCGGACACAGTTCCAGGACTCTTCGGGCTTCCTAGCCCTGCAGCCAGGTTGGCAGGCTGTCATTTTTCGAAGGCATCGGCCGTCTCCCCGGATGACCGGTCCGGTGACCTGTCCGGCGGCCCCACCCTGTGCTCGCTGCCTTGCTGCCCTCTCCTCCCCTCCTCTCGCCCGGGCTCAGCTCTGCTGGCGCAGCAGAGTCCGCCTGCTTAGTCTCCCGCTGATGTACCCTGCTCCTTCCTTATGCTTTTTAAGAGCGGGTGCCGGTTCCAGCCCCTGTTCGGCAGCGCACCACCCCGCGCTGGTGGCCAGTCCCCCGCAGAGCAGGCCGCGCCGTCCTCTGCCAGCGAGGACGTGGCCCGTCGCGTGCACGAGGGCCCGGCGGCCTCTCGTTTGCTTGGTGGCTCGTCCCCGAGATCCTTCGGCTCCTTAGACGCAAATACACAGCTTTAAAATCCTGGCGCACGAGGAGCTTTGGGGGTACCTGCTACTTCTACCCTCAGAGTGTTACAGCTAGACAACAGGTGACTGAAATGTACTGGCCTCTGGTGGTGACTCAGAAGCCCGAGCCGGCTGCTCTCAGGAGCTCTGTCGCGTGAACCGCGTGTGTTCTCCTCGTCTCTAGCGTCCACTCTGTCCCCCGGCCACGTCTCTCACCCAGGGGCTCCGTCAGCTTAGACCGGGTAGATCCGCGTCGCGGCGGACGCGTGCGGAGCCCCCAGGAACACGGGTCTGTCCGAGCTCTGCCAGGTTCGCTTAATCATTCTGAACCTCCTGTCGGATTAAAATTCCAGACTCGATTTTCTTCCCGGCCAGTTTGCCGTCAACGGTGGTCGTGTCTCCTGAGTTGTTCTGCGGGGTCTGTGCCACGGGTCACTCGGCCCCGTTTCTCTCCCCTCCCGCGCCCTGCCCCTGCTGAGAGGCAGACGGGTCTCCTCAGCGGCACGGGCCCAGCGCTCTGGTCTGCTTCGCTGGCCCGCTCGCCGTCGGCGCGTCCGGTGGGCGCGTGTGACTCGGAGCGCGCTGTGCAAGGGGTCAGCAGGCCCAGGCTCAGAGTGGTGCCGACAGGAACACAAAGTGCGCGCACGCTGACTAGTTGTGATGCCGATTGTCCGTTGACCATTTTAGCGCTATGAAGTGAAATAAAAGTTAGGGCTGCAAAGAGTCTCTTTGCCGATCAAAATCTGGCTGGCCGGAGCGATCGCGTCCCTCCCTGGCCCCTGCCTGCTTCTCCGGAGGTGCGAGGTCTCTCTCTGCTTCAGACCGCAGCGGGCCGCCTGCAGGCAAGGGCTGTGTGACTGACGGTGCGGCCGAGGCCGGCGGCCTCCCGCGGCGGCCTGTCGCTGTGCGCGGCGAGGCCTGAGAGCTGGCCCTTGCCGGCGCCCCGCCACTTAGAGGGGTGGGACCTGGCACCAGCCACCGCGAGACCAGTGTGGGGGAGCCCTGCCCTCCCTCCGACCCCCCAGCCCAGAGCCCCCCGCGTTGGGCGGGCTCCATCTTCAGGGCAGGTTTTCGCTTTTCGGTCTTGTCCCCTGGGGATGTGCCCCTTGGGGCGGGTGGGTGCGTGTGGTGGGGGAGCCCCAGACTTCTTACCGCCTCTGCCCCGGAGGCGCCAGCCCCAGCCGCCCGGCGGCAGGGCCTCGCCTGTGCCCACAGTCCGCCTCGGCGTCGCAGACGTGTTCTAGGCTCTGGCCTGCTTGTTGTCCTTCCCGCTTCGAGCTCGCCCTGCTTACGGACGGCTGTGCCTCCCACCCTCCGCCTGCGTGTCCGACGTCTGCACGGGGCTGTCTGCGTGGGAGCCAGCGTTGCCCCGAGCGTCGCTCGCGCTGCTCCTGCGCCTGCCGGGCCGGGGCACTGCTGCCCGTGGTCTCTCTGCGTCCCGAGGCTCGCGGGTCCTCGAGCGCTCAGGGCTTAACGAGTTTGCCCGTGTCTTGTTCGTGCTTGGACTCACCGCTGCCCACGTGTGGCCCTTTCGTGAGCATTTCTGCGTATCGCTCACTAGTGGGTTCGGCCGTTTCCGCAGACCGTTCTGCATGACGCGACTGGACTGGCCACGTGGCCGAGTCCCGTGGCTGCCCTCAGTGGCCGGGCCTGCCCTTCGCTCGGCCCAAGGTGTCCCTGTGCCCCGCTGCCCACGGCCAGGTGGCTGCCGGCTGCGTCGGCTCCAGGCTCACGGGGCCTTTGGCTGCGGCATCCGCCGTCTCTGCCCTCCTGGCTTACCCACCTCTCCACCTCGGTGCGGGCTTTGGACCGGCGCGTGCTGGCACTGCCCGCGTGCCCTTCAGGTCTTAGCTGCTCCCCGCGTGTGTTCACCTCCGCGTCTCGGGCCGTGGGCTCTGCCCTAGGCCCGCCCGATTCTCTCTGCAGCGCGTCCGCCTGCGGCCAGCCCAGCCGCTGAGTCTCCTTCCCACAGCTGCTTGTGTCCCTTCGAGGCCGCCTGCCTTTTGTAAGGAATTCCCCGATCCTGCCTTAGCGACCCGGACCCTTCACTTCTTTGCCTGTTTTAGGTGACTTGGTTACTCTAGTCTTTAAGCACATCTTCTTCCTATGATTCTTGGGGTGAGTTCCGCCTTGGCCTTCACACCACGTGAAAGCGCCCCTTCTGCCTTGTAAGTGTGGCCGTTAGTGGGGCCCGAGGCATGCGGTGTGGGGTGCCTGGTTCCAGGCCCAGTGTGTCTGTCTGCAGCTTTCTCAGCTTAGGGCCGGCGCTCGGTGCGGGCTGTGAGGGGGCGGCTCGTCGGCGGCCCTCCCGCCACAGTGGCCGGCGGCCGCTCCCTCGCGGCCGAGTGTGCCTAGCCTCGCCCAGACGGGCAGGCTGGCGGCCCCTGGCCTCGCAGGCAGCAGAGCCCAGGTGCTGCGGCCGGCCGTCCAGTGCGTCCCTCACGCTTGCCCCCAGCTCAGGTCTTGATGTGACTTTGTTTTCTGTTTGATTATGCGATCTGGGATCTTGCAGTCGAATACACGTGTGGGGCAGGGCTTGGGGAGATGTGTGGTGTTAAATTCAGCTGTCATTTCTGTGACTGAGAGGAGGGCAGGGCCTCCCCGTGAGAGAGGCCTGGCCTGCTGCAAGGCCCCGTGGGCCCTGTCTGCTCCTTCCTGTCCACCAGGCCATTTCTGGACTCCCTGTGTCCCCACCCCAGGCCGGGGTCCCAGTGCTGTGGGCTCACACCCTCTCCCTTTCCTAGGCTCGGGGGCCCCGGTTCCCGCCCCTGACCTCTTAATGCAGATCAAGCAGGAGGGCGAGCTCCAGCTTCAGGAGCAGCAGGCGCTGGGGGTCGAGGCGTGGGCAGCCGGCCAGCCGGACATCGGGGAGGAGCCGTGGGGTCTCAGCCAGCTGGACTCCGGAGCAGGCGAGGTCTCCACAGACGCTGCCTCTGGTGAGTGGCTGAGACGGGGGGGAGCAGGCGGGGAGGCGGGTCGTCGCAGGGCCTGGGGGGCGCCGGGGAGGGGTGGCGGGGTTATGGGCTGACAGCGAGGTGCAGCCTCATCTCTGGCTGAGATGGGGCTGTACCAGTGACATCTGTGGGCCCCTGGGTTCTGTTCGGTGCCACCTGCCCTGTCTCACTTGCCGGCGTCGCCCCTGTTCTTCCTGCCCCCATGTTGGCATTTCAGTCACAGCTGCCGCCTCGCGGCGAGGGGCCGGGTGAGGAGGTAGTGCTCTTTGAGCTCGCTGGGGCCTTGGAGAAGGGGCAGCAGTTCATGGGCTCAGGAGAGAAGTGGGGGTCGTGTGCTCACTGAGGGCCCCCCCAGCGGGGCCTCGGGGCCTCCCTTCCCACTGCCTCGTCCTCGTCTCTCGCACCACAGGTGTCCCCGCCAGCTTTTCGACCACCATCGCGCCCGCTTCCTGGCAGGCCGGCCTCCCTCCCCACCACCCTTCCTCGGCGTGCTCGGAGGGGGCCCTGAAGCTCAGCACGGCAGCGGCCTCCACCGAAGGTATGGGGGCCTGAGCTGCCCGCCTGGTCAGGGACCTGGGGCGGCCGCACCGCCGCCAGCCCCAAGCCGCCCTGGCCCGTCGGCCACTTAGACTCGGGCCGCGAAGACGGGCCCAGGCCGGAGCCGCGCTTCCGTGTCGGAGGCGGCTGAGCCCCTTGGGGCGGCCAGTCCCACCCTTTAGCGCCTCAGTCTGTGCCTGCAGCCGCGGTCCCCAGGGTCAGGCTTCAGAATGTGAGGTCCAGGACACTGACATGAGCCAGACACACCAGCGTCATCAGTAGCGCGCTGACCCCACCCCTTGAAGCTGCGCCCACAGCCGTGTGGCGGGTTAACGCGCCCCGGCCCCACGTGACAGTGCCCCGATGGGCGTGCTCGAGGCATTCGCCCCAGGCCGCCGCCACCCTCTGTGGCGCCCCACAGCCCCTCAGAGCCGCTCAGGCTGGGCTGTGCCATGGGTGCGCCTGCCTGGCCCCCGGGGCGACTCCCCCAGCCCCACAGCCCAGCTGAGAGGGGACGTGGTATCGGCTTTACCTGTGGAGGTTCAGTAACAGGGGCCCCCGCACCTGACTGCCCGGGCGGGGCAGGTGCGTGCGCCGCGCCCCCCTACCCGGTGAGCCCCCGGCTTGGAGCTGCTGAGTGTCAGGCCTTGGCTGTGGGGTGGGGGGGGCCAGCGTGAGACTAGCCTCCGTCTTCTTCAGCAGATGTAAAAATCGTGATCAAAACAGAAGTCCAGGAAGAAGAGGTGGTGGCCACCCCGGTGCATCCTACCGACCTGGAGGCCCACGGGACCCTGTTTGGACCAGGCCAGGCCACGCGGTTCTTCCCTAGTCCCGTGCAGGAGGGCGCCTGGGAGAGCCAGGGCGGCTCCTTCCCCAGCCAGGACCCGGTGCTGGGGCTGCGCGATCCCGCCCGGCCCGAGAGGGACATGGGCGAGCTCAGCCCAGCGGTGGCTCAGGACGAGACCCCCCCGGGGGACTGGCTCTTGGGGGGCGTCCGGTGGGGCTGGAATTTCAGGTGCAAACCTCCAGTGGGCCTGAACCCAAGGACTGGGCCCGAGGCGCTGCCCTACTCGTCTTCTGACAGTGGGGAGGCCGTGCTGGACCCCAGCCAGGCGGCCAGGCCCTTCCAGGACCCCTGCAAATACCCAAGCCGGACCAAAGGCTTCGGCCCCAAGCCGGGCCTGAAGAAGCACCCCGCAGCCCCGCCCAGCGGCCGCCCCTTCACGTGCGCCGCGTGCGGGAAGAGCTTCCAGCTGCAGGTCAGCCTGAGCGCGCACCAGCGCAGCTGCGGGCAGCCGGACGG